GTCCCCCTTCCCCTCCCGCTGTGGCTCTTGGCTGACTTTTGCACCGCTCAGCCAGGCTGCTGCGGGGGAGCAAACGGCCATTTGGGGTCTGCGCTCCCCATGCAGCATGCCAGTGCTGCATGGGCAGGGCTCGGCAAACAATGTAATCTACTTGCCTGTACATGACACCCTGGAAGAGCCAGTGCAGAGCGATCTGCACATGCACAGAATGATCTGCGCATGCGCAGAGCGCAGAACAGCACAGCTGGTGAGCGGGGCTTGCCGCCGCTCGGCGAGTCCTGTGCAAGAGGAGCATGGACGCCAAATGGACACTTGTGCTGCTTGCTCCCCTGCAGCAGCCCGGGGCGCAGAACTCAGCCGAGCACCACGGTGGGAGGCAACAGCGCCCCCCAGAGGCAACACGTAACGCTACAGCGTTACAGAGTCACAGACATTGGGCTACTATATATATGATAATGCTAGTTATCTCTAAATAATGGTGCAGTGTACATGCGCCCCCTGGGTGGCTTCATGATTAACAGATTTACTTCCCTCCATTTCAAACCTGCACAGGCATCACTGGGTTGAAACTCACTCGATGACTGCTCCTGGACTCCACCAGGTTGCGTGTGACTGTGCTAGGCACTGCACAAATAGACACTAAATGACCATGCTCTACACCAAAGAGATGACAATCGAAGTCACTCAAAGGCTAATGTAATCAGGTTTGCATGCTGCTTAGAAGAGTGCATTGTGATTACATTGGTGAACCTTTCTGATCTACAGAACTGCAAAAACATAGGGCTGGAACATACCTTGAGAGGTCATCAGATCCAGCCCCCTGCACTGAGGCAGGACCAAGTTCTTGACCATTCCTGGTAGGTATTTGTCTAACTTCTTAAAAACCTTCAATGATGGGGATGCCACAACCTCCCTTGGAAGCCTATTCCAGAGCTTAGTTACCATGATAGTTAGAAAGTTTTTCTTAATATTTAAACCACCCTTGCTGCAGATTAAGACTTGTCCCATTTTCAGGGAGGGAGGCTCAGATTCCTGCAGAGCTGCTGGCTGGGAGCCCCTAGGTAAGCACCTCCCAGCCAGAGCCTCCCTCTGGCAACCCACCCCCACTCCCCTCAAGTACCTGCCCCAGGCCACCCCCAAACACTCTGTATCCCCTCTCCCCACCTCGTCCAGGTCACAACTCCCTTTCAGACCCTACGCCCCCTCTTGCACCTTTCCCCCAGGCCAGGATCCTCTCCTGCACCCATAACCCCTTCTGGACCCTGCACCCCATTCCGCTACCCCAGATCATAACCCCCTCCTTCATCCAAACTCCCTCTCAGACCCCACATGCCCTTCTGCACCGCAGTCCTCTGTCCCAAGCTCCTTTCTACACTCCACCTGCTGTCCCAGACCCCACATTCCCTCCACAGAAGTGTGGCCCTTGACCACTTACCAAAAACCCCACATTAAAAATTATTTCCCACCCCTGATCTACACCATCCCTGACAGTTGTTTGTCTAACTTGGTCTTAAAAATCCTCAGTGATGGAGATTCCACATCATGGCCTTTCCCTCGGAGCCTCTATTCTTTCCCACTCAGAGTAAGGGCTTTTACTTTTACACCTTGGCTGTCCCTTTTACCTGGTATAAAGGGGCCTGAATAAAGGGCCAAGAGCTCCCTCAGTGTCTGTAGAGCCGTCATTTGTTCCCTGTTCTGTACAGACACGCTATGGACAAGTGATAGAATATATCTGTGCCTCAGTTGCCTCATCTACAAAACAGGGATAATATTTATCTAATAGTGAGACGTGTTTGTGAAATACTTAGTAAAAAGCGCCATGCTAGGCATGCACTCATCAATTCTAACTACATAATACACTGCCTCAAATCGGAGTCAGCTCTCACATCCGGTCCCTCAGCATGAGCCGTGTATATAACAAGAGGAAAGTGAATGAACTGAGCATATTGTGAGGCATTCAGCCAAAGACTAATTGCTCTCAACCACCTGAGCACTGGAAGGAATGCTTATGGAGAGCTATCGCTTTTATATTTTTTTCAGTGATATTAATTGTATAGGTTTATCCAGATACCTGTAGTATTCCAAACCCTGAGTAGGTAATCAAACATATCATTTTAGATATCATATTTTGTTAAATAGGCTAACATCATCTCCCAACAACGAACCAATCAAGTACCATTATGATGGAGGCTAAGTTCGGGGGGGTAAATATCCCAGCTTTTATACTTACTGGATCAACTCAGCTATTATAGTCACAGAGTTAAGCTAGACATGATAGTCAAAGGCTTTTCAGTGCAAAGTTTGAAAAGCCTCAGGGTGCAGGTTGCCCACCACTGCTTTATGGTTTTCATATCTGGGAATAACTGTATTGATCTGTCTCTAAGGTTTTGATTATTAGAATCCCATTGTTTCTTCTCATCCCTTTTAAGCAGTGCCTAGCAGTGGTAAGGACCATCTGTGGAATATCAGGCATAGAGGTATGTGGCCCAGAACCAGAATAGCCAGGTCTCCATCACCCCAGTTTGGAGGGCACACTGAGTCCAGGAGAGGATGTGGTTGGGGTTGTGGTAGTCCTACACCTTGGCTGCATCTAGACTGTCTACATTGGCTGTCTACATTGGCTGTCTACATTGGCCGCTTGAATTTCCGCAAGACCACTGACTTCCTACTGTCTGAAATCAGTGCTTCTTGCAGAAATACTATGCTACTCCCATTCGGGCAAAAGTCCTTTTGCGCAAAGCTTTTGCGCAAAAGGGCCAGTGTAGACAGCTCACATTTGTTTTGCGCAAAAAAGCCCCGATCGCGAAAATGGCGATCGGAGCTTTTTTGTGGAAAAGCGCGTCTAGATTGGCACGGATGCTTTTCTGCTAAAAATGCTTTTGCGGAAAAGCGTCCGTGCCAATCTAGACGCTCTTTTCCCGCAAATGCTTTTAACGGAAAACTTTTTCGTTAAAAGCAATTGCAGAAAATCATGCCAGTCTAGATGTAGCCCTTGTGTATTGTTTGGCAGTACAATGGCCATCAAGACTGGTGCAAGTTAGGGCAGCTGTAACCTGTGCACCTGTCCTATATCAGGGAAGCCTATGCTTCTCTCCTTTAGTCATTGTGCAAGGCTCAGCACTAGGGCAGGGATGGATTGGGGCCATCGTCTCAACATGTTCATTTCCTCATCCCAACCACAAAGAGATTTCATATAACCCTATGCTGTCTTAGCCCTGACCTCCCTGACTTTCCTTTGACTGTTACTTTCATTAATCTTGCTCTACCCCTGAGAGAAATTATAAAGGGGAAAATGTATGTAACTATCCCGTGCATCATTTGGGGGAATATATGCAATGGCCCAGATCCACAGCTGGTATCACTGAAGTCAACCTATCGACAGCACTTTACACAACCCGAGTATTTCACCCAGCAACACTGCCAATAACTACTGTAGACAGTGTTACTTCCTCTAAGGATGGTAATATCCTTAAACCTAACCCTACACACATGGCACAAACTCAGTGGGTTATCAGAAACAAGCTTTCCAAAATCACACATTGATTGGATTCCACAGAAAGCCCAAATCCGTTTGCTTGGAATCTATTAACAAGGCGAAGGAGATACCCAGCGCGCACTACGAAAACATCCGAGATGCCTGTTATCTTCCCAGCCAGAGTGTGACCCACAGACCCTGTCGCATTAGCTTGTGGAAGCCAAAAGCAATTCTCTCTCTGGGATCCAACGGCAGCCGGAACAAAATGGCAACTCATGCTGCCCCATAGGAATGCAATCCCATTATCTCCTGATAATGCAGGAGACAACGTGTGTCACCACTAGGTTTGTGGTGACAGTGATGGAGCATTTGCCTTGGCTGCAATCAATTACTTGGACTTAAATTCATTACGTCTAAGACCCACAGCACAATTTACAGACTATTATGATGGATACTTGGAGATATATTAAAAAAGAATACTGCCTATAGCACAATCTGAAGTCTGCTTTTTGAGCATGAGTGTGTACAAATGCATTACACACATGCTGCACTCTGTATATGGGGTATGTATGTTATACAATATACATGGGGAAGGATGTATGTGCTTTATATATAATATGCACACACAGAGTATAATATAATAATTTTTAAATTAACTCCCACATGCTTGACACAAGGACAGAGCATTTTTTTCATTTGGGGGGGGGGGGGTGCAGAATCCCACTGAGTTCCATAGGATCCCTTGGCTAAGTTAGTCCAGCAAGATTTGGCCCTGCATATAGAATTGTTCTTTTATTCACTGGATACAAAAGCATCCTCTCTGTGTGTGTCTTTCCCCCTCTTTCCTATAGGCATACAAGTGGAAAGGAAATCTTTGCTACTTGCAGCATAATAAAAATAATTCGGCTGATTTTCAGTTGGATATCTTATGGATATCAATATATACAAATATGGCCTGATTTTTTCCAATGCACCAAGCAATCCCAGTTCCCACTGAAGATATCTATATTAGATACACACGTGTACACACCCTTTCTGCAGAGATACACATATAAGACTTACAATGCCATGTATGCTTTATACTTTCACTTGGCAATTAAACCTTTACACACACACACACAGACACAGGCAGACAGACACATGCTAAAGCTTCAATCCTAGAGTGACTGACATAGAAATCTAAGCCAGCCATGTAGACAGCAAGACCTCTTTTAATCCACGCAGTGCACACCCATATCTACAGCGACTGACATTTTGTGTAATAAATAATAGCATTTAATAAATATTACACAGGCCCACCCTTCTGCCTCTCGGCTCCCAAAGCCATTTCAGTAACAATGTCCTGTGTATGACAAAGACACAGGGTGAGGAACAGGCAGGACATGATCAGCTGGAAGGGAGAGGCTCCGGCAGTGAAAGCTGCTGCATATCGGAGCAGGTTCTTCCCAGCTACCAGACGTGTGATCTGCATGTCTAATAATGAACAGATTTAGTCAATCCATCGTGGCTGGCATCAATCCCTTACCTTGAAATGATGTAGTTGAAGAATCTGGTCTTCAAGCTGTTGTCTTTTGCCTTCTATTTCTGTCTGCCTTTTCCTTTTTTCCTTGGGAAAATAAAGAGAGAGAGCACGTCAGAGCGACGGGAGCCTTACGGACTGCAGATTCCTAAAAGAGAATTTAAGCAGCCAAGCACATCTGTACAGATGTCACCACTGGCATCCGCACAGACATTTCACCTGCTTCTCTGGCTGTGGGTGTGCAGCATCCTCGCAACATGTCAGCTCAGGACTAGCTACTTGTTCATCGAGCAGGAGAAATTCTCCTCACTCACATGCAGCCATAGAAGCAGCCACTGAGTACACAGAGCTGGATAGGGAAAAAACACTGGCTAACAATGGAGTTAGAGGGACACAAATACCCTTGTCTGTTAATAAACTATATTCTACAAGGTCAAAATTAAGGCTTGCTTAGTGCAAAGAACAACAGTAACACTGTAAAGCGTGTGTGTGAATGAACGACTGATAAAGAAAGGATAACACTAAGATTACAGACCTCATCCTTCTCCCATCCAAATCCATGACAAGACCCCACCTTAGTTCAATGGGAACATGCATCTCTTCAAAGCACTGTATTACCTCACCAACCAGCCTCAGTGCCGAGTCATTTAAAACAGGAATGAAAAACATGCACTTTAAGCAGCTGGCACTAATTGGTGCCCTTTTTGGTAGAGCCCTGCAAATCTGCAGTTATCCACTTTACATCCACAGGTCTCCCCATCCGCAGATATGGATGTGGATAGCCACGGCTCATTTTTGCGGACATGGATACAAATTTTGTATCGATGCAGTGCTTTACTTTTCAGCCACCTTAAGAGAGAAAGTCTAGCACTAAGCTGACCAAACCACTTTCTCTTCTTAAAAGCGTTCCATGACAGTCAGATCAGACCAATGGCGAGTGGTCATCTGCGGGCTGAATCGAACCTGGGACCCCTGGAGCTTAGTGTAGGAACCTGTACCACATGAGTTAAAAGTCAGCTGCATTCTCTTCTGTGCATGGTCTCAGTATTATTAGATGGGGCAGGGGGTGAATGCCCAGTCAAAAAGGAATCCTGACAGTTCTAATTAGCACTGCTGATTGGGTCGTTAAAAGTCTGGTCGGCGGCACAGTGGAGCTCAGGAAGCCTCCCTACCTGCCTTGCCTCCACACAGCTCCCAGGGGTACGTCTAGACACTGGAGGTATCCTGAAGAATCTACCCCGCATCTTTTAAATGTGCCCGTTATTTGGAAATACTTTTCCTCATCCCATGAGGGTTAAGCGATGTCTCGAAATAGTGCATTATTTCAAAATTTTACATGCCAAATTTTGAAATAAGCTATTTCGAAATACAATCAAAATAAGATACAAAATTTGCGTAGTTTAGGGTGCTGTGTAGACGCACCCTGTGGGCCATAGGGATTCAGAGAGGCTAGTAATGCTCTGCATACTGCCCCCACCCCAGCCCCATCTCCCATTGGCCAGCAGTCATAACCAATGGGAGTTATGGGGGTGGTGCCTGCAGACTTGGGCTGTGCACAGAGCATCCCTGGCTGCCAGCCCAAGAACTACAGGAACCCCTCAGCTGTTTCCCAGGAAATGCCTTAGATAAGCACTGTCCGGACCCCTCACCTGAGCTTCAAGCCCCGTCCCTACCCTGAGCCCTCTTCTGCACCTCGAATTGTTTGGTCCAAGCTAAGTGTTCTGCCTCACCCTCCTCAACCCTAGCCAGGACCCATTCCTACACCCCAAATTCATCTGCATTCACACCCCGGCGCTCACATGTCAACCCTCTGCCCCAGTTCTGAGCCCCTTCCCACGCCCAAACTCTCTCCCCTTCCACAATCTGAACCACTCAGCCCCAGCTCAGAGTCCTCTTGTGCACCCTCAGCCCCTCATTCCCTGCCCCATTGCAGGGCATACACTCCTAGCCAGAGCCTTCATTCTACCCCCCATTCCAACCTACCACCCCAGCCTGGTGAAAATGAGAGGGGTATGGAGTGAGGAGGTGAAGCCTCAGGGAAGGAGCAGAGCAGGGGCAGGCAGAGGGCAAAAGTGTTAGGTTTTGTGCATAAGAAAGTTGGCAACCCTAGTGAAAATGCAACTTGCACCCATCATCAGTGCCCTTCGTTTTGCCTGCACAATATAAATGAGTCTTACTGTAGAGTGGGAATAAAAGATGATAATTAGGGGAGAGGGAACTTCCAGCAAACTGAGTAGCTGACTGGAGACTTTCCTGACAATGAGATTTGTCAGGCTGTGGCATAGTCTTCCAAGGGAAGTGGCAAAAAGCCCACTACCACTTAGTACTTTTGAGGCAGCTGCACTAGAGAAGCACTAGAAACATGTAATACACACAGAACCCATACTGGCAAAGAGATGGACTCCATGGTCTTTTCCATCTCCAGTTTCTGTGATACTTACATGCAACAAACGTGTGCACAATTTAATTTTATGCATTTTAAATGTGGCACATAAAATCTGCACTGAATAATAAGGCAACTACCTGAACTGTGACAGGCAAATGCCCCATTTGTGTCTGCAAAGGGTGTGCACGGCAAATTTGGGTATGCACTTTTGAAAAATAAGCTCCTTTATATGATGTGATAGCCACGGGAGAATTTTTCTTCTTTTTTGCATGTTTGAATGAAACAGGAAAATGGATGGCTCAGCATTTACAAAAAGAACCACCTTTTTAGTGGTTGCTTCTTGCAATTTTGGACACTGGGGAAATAACACTAGCTTTACAGGCAAGCGATTCATCAGATCCCGTTCTAAATTCTTCTGCTTTCTTTGCTAAAAGAGCCTGTTTGTCTGTTTTTGATAGTAGATTAAAGTGATTAGACTTGCCTCTGTTAATAGCAACAATATTCTAATAATAAGGATAATTCCCCCCGTTCTTGTCGAGTTTCTCCTGTTCTGATTTGATTTGTGTGGGAGTTTGAATCCTGTTAGTCATGAAGCAAGCAAAATACCTGCTTCCTAACACTTAGTTGACCTATTTCTTTACCCATCGCAGAGAAAGTACTTAATAAAATATGATAAAAATCACCAAGGTATTTTCATTGGCTGGTTGTGCCATGCCCTATAATGCATATGACAGGAGAACCTAAAAAAGCATAGATTAAAAATGTATTTTTGTTGTAAGAAAGCAAAGCACTTAGAGTATTTTCCCCTCAGGCAACAATGGAGAAGGCACTAAAATACTTGAACTACTTACTAACTAGTGGAATTAAATGAGAATAATAGTCATGTTTCCACTCGCCCTGTTTTCAGTCAGCCTGACTTCATATCTCCTTCAATGGTCTTTCACTATGGCCCAAGGATTTGGATGAGTTAACTCATGTTCAAAATAATTTTCTTTTTAAGACTCAGGGGGATTGGTAATTGGCAATAGGAGAGCCTATCACTTTTAGGTCACTAGTTTAAATCCAGTCCAGATTGCTCAGTCAATGAAAGCTCTTACCATAGTGTAGCTATTCAGTGGCTCATGTGAAATGAATTTTGTGATGTCAATTCATTCCCTGGTGATGAGCAGGCTTGCACAAAACAACCCCCTCCACAATAGTCTATTCCCTTGTCATAATATATTTCAGTGCCATGGTTCATAGTAAATCATGAAACATTTATAATACATTTGATCACAAGTGAATGATGTTTAACCATTTTCACTGATGTACATTTTATAAATGCAATATTCTGGAGTAGTAATTGTCATCAGCATGGCAGACCTCAGTCCTAACAAAACGCACAACAGTGAAGTAAGATGAAACTCTCTAATGGCTGGAATACATCAGCCATGCACAGATGGCAACTCTGGTTTCAATAAGTTATTCAGTCACATGTCCAAACGCTACAAAAATTACTATCAAGCTCTGGACTCATTGCTGGCTTCTGTATCTGGTGCGAGTCACACAGAGTGAGCAACAGGTTCATTAGAAAGCCTTGCTGGGATTGACCATGGGCTCTGGATGTTGAGTGCAGTCTTGGTTCCACTGTTGTACGTTCAGCAGTCTCTTAGAGTATTCTACATTCTGATGTTTTCCTGAATATAAAATAGCTTTTCCAAAGGGGCCAATTATTTTAACAGATTCTAATCTGCGAAGGGTAACAATGAAACTAAAATATGCTTTAAAAAGTTTTTTCCCAGGTTATTTTATTTAACTGGTACCTAATGTTTATTCTATAACATAATAAATATGAAGGGTAACAATGAAACTAAAACATGCTTTAAAAAGTTTTTCCCCAGGTTATTTTATTTAACTGGTACTTAATGTTTATTCTATAACATAATAAATACTATATTATTATTTCAGCCAATAGAGCTTAGGGATGTAAAATCCTGTTTAATCAGTTAACCAATTAAACATATTGTTTAACCAGTTAACCAATTAAAAGAGAGGGCAGATGGTGGTTGTGGTGGTGGGGCTCCACCCCCCCACTGCAAGCAGGGGCTACTCCAGGCCAGTCAGAGGGGTCCCTGCCTGCAGGTCAGTCTCTGTCCACCGCAGATGGAAGTGGGGATCTGTTCCAGCCCCCACTGGATAATCGTCAATCAACCCTGCTAAAGTTTGGAGATGACATTAGAATTGGGGAAGTGGTCAGTGATGAAGAGGACAGGTTACGGATACAAGCAATCTGGATCAGCTGGTAAATTGTGCACAAGCAAACAGTATTTCAGTGATGTTTAATACAGCTAAATCGGGGTGGGCAATAATTTTTGCAGGGAGGCCACTGCACAAATTTTGGAAGTGGGGGTGTGGCCTTGGGCAGAAGGGTCAGGGCTGTGGAAGAGTGGGCAAAGTCTCTCAGCCCCCACCCTCCCAGGGACGCTCAGCACCTAAAGGGACTCCCCCAGCTGGCTCCTGGTGGCTAGAGGAAACTTCACATGCTTCATGCGCCCCAGGCCAATCAGGGTCTGGGGGCAAGGGAGTGTGCAAAGTCTCTCACCCCCTTTCCCCTGCCCCGCCAGGGATGCACAGCTAGAGGGAACTGCCAGCTATTTTGAACAGCTGGTGGTTCCCTCTGTGGCTGCATGCCCCTGGCGGGGGGAGGAGACTTCGTACACGC